ATGCATTGCAAGGCAAGCGCTCTACCACTGAGCCACTTTCCCAGCCCCTATTTTAAGATTCTTCAATGTCACCATTGGAAGGATTGATTCTGAGTGCTCTAGGTTCCATGATTCCAGAAAAGCTATCCATGGCATCTCTGAGAGACCACTCCCATGGTAAAGCATCCCTTTTCCTCTTCTCCAACCTCATTATTAATGTTTATTAAACAAAACAAAATGAGTTTAAAATCTCTCCCTCTCCCTCCCTCTTCCTCCCTCTCCCTCCTCCCCCGGCCTCTCTCTCCTGATGTTGACCTTAATCCCACATCCAGATTCCTTATCTCAGGTCTTCTCACAACTCAAACACTGGTTCAGAGCCCACAGGAGGTAGAAGACAATCTGGGGGACAGCTTTTATACTCTGCACAACATTACGCTAATATGACTTCTCACAAATTGCTCTGATTAAACTTGGTTCTGTCTACAGCCTTAGAATAAGCACACCGATACTTTGCCCAGATGATTATAAAGAAGAACATTGAAACTCTTCATCCTATTGAGCCCCTAACAACAAACACTTACCGAGGTATGAAGGGTCCTCACATCACAGTCCTTCCATGCTTTCTTGCTAAGCACATGACAGCCAGTCTCTAACACATCCAGTGTGAGGTAGAACAGAGTTCCAACGTCGTCCTATGAGAAGGATAAACACACCACACTCCACATGAGACAGAAATCCACCAAGAATGGATCCTTTATAAGTTGTAAAAAAAAAAAAAAACTTTCACTAGGCGTCAGAGGAGCAGAACTGTTACATTTGTTCCTAGCAACAAGGAGAATATTGTAGCACATTCTGGCAGAGGTAGACAGAACAAGTTTAGCAGGGTTTCCAACTTGGTAAGCATCTGCCAACTTGTATTTCTTGGTTCCCACTCCATGACTAGACACTAAAGCCTACTCAATACCTGCCATAGAAATGGGGGAGGGAGGCTATTATTTACCTGATACTCTTCCCAAACATCATGCACTCGGTTGAGGCTCAGCACATAGCCATCCTTTTGTTCTCTGTTGATGTCCTGCAGGGCAAAGCCTGCAAAGGTCAGCACATCCGAGTCATTGCAGCCCCGGGAAACCAAAGGTGAGGGGTTCTGGGCCTGCTGGGGTAAGGGGTTCAGGCACTGCTGGGGTGGAGACCTAGCCACACAGCATGCAGCCAGGGTGCAGAGCACCAGAGATTGAAGCCATCCCATTCTGTGTGGAACAAGATGCAGGTTGAGTCAGTTTGTGAAACTTCAGGGACCGGCGGTCTTATGGGGCTCTTCAGGTCAGACTTGAGCTGCTTTATGATAGTTATCTGAATGGCTAACTAGGATTTGAAACACTGTGTTCTAACTTGTAACCTTGAATTTGAAATGTGTTTTTTCTTTTTCTGAATCAATACTTTGGATAAGATTTGTCAATCTTCTAACCTTAGACCCTGGGAGAAATTTCATACCCGTGTTCAGGTAAACAAATCTGTTTCCTAACTCTTCCCCCCAAATCAAGGTTCTTAGGAAGTCATCGCTAGATTCTGGCTTGTGTATTCACCTGAGTCAGAACATGGGGACTCTTCTCTTCTTCACTCCTCCGCCCTGCAGCTGGTCTCCTTGGCTACCCTGAATACTGCAGGTAAACACCATCCTAGGTCCCAACAGGGCTGAGGCAGCGAGTTCAGACTCCCCAGCTAACTTCTTGTGTTCCCTGCTCAAGAGCAGGGAATTTGAAGGATTTAAACAGCTTAACCTCCCAGGCACTTTACAGAAGCACAGCTGAGATTGCTAATGCACCTTGAGAATCCGGCTAGAGAATATTCTTAGTCTCATATAGGTTATTTTAAGTCAAAGACTGTATTTAAGGGCGAGAAAAAGCTAAGAAGATATCAAATGTCCTCCCATTATACTCGCAAGTTATTCTTTCTTTAGTGGATCTGAATGAAAGTAGATTCATTCAGGGAATTAAACCTACTACTATTGTTAGAGAAAGATAATGAGGGTCAGGTGGATTGGAACACTATCAAAACACTAGTTAGGACTCTTTCTCAGGTCCTGTATGGAGTTCTGAAAGGTTCTATTTATTGGGACGATTTAAAATACATCTTTGTTGTTGTTTATTTGTGGCATTTTTTGTTTGTTTTGTTTTGGGTCAGTCCTGGGGCTTGAACTGGAAGCCTGGATGCTGTCCTCAAGCAATTTTACTCCAGTTCATGCTTTTTGCTGTTCAATTGGAGGTAATAGACTGTTACATTTGTCTGAGTTGGCTTTGAACCAGGATCCTCAGATCTCAGCATCCTGAGTAGCTAGGATTACAGAAGTGAGCTACTGGCTTCCAGCTGAAAACTACTCTTTAAGATATCTGAATAAATTCATGGGCTGGAAAGGTAGCTCAGTGGTAGAGCGCTTGCCTTGCATGCATGAGGTCCTGGGTTCGATTCCTCAGCACCACATAAGCAGAAAACACCAGAAGTGGCACTATGGCTCAAGTGCTAGCCTTGAGCTGAAGAGCTGAGGTACAGCGCCCAGGCCCAGAGTTCAGGCCCAGGACTGGACCCCCCCACACACACACAAAAAAAGATATCTGAATAAATTCAATCAACATACTTCCCAGGTGAGGAAATGTTAGGAAGACTGAGTGAGCTTCCATAAGGTAGAGTGCTTGATGGAGAATTCTAAGTAAATTAGTGGTAGAACCCACAGGAGACTTTTCATTTAGAATTCAGCTAGCAACGAGTCAACTGAATGAACTTGGAAAGCTCCTTAACTGCTGTAAACCTCAGTAGCCAAATCTGGCACATGGGCTAATTATATAACCTACCTCAGAAATTATCCATTAGAAGGCTAAAGTAATGCTTGGCACACAGTGCTTTTGTGTGATCATGACAGATACCTGAAACTCAATAAGCATTAATTGACTACTCTACAATGCCAGGAACTGAGTTAGGTTCTCCAGAATCAAAGGCTAATGAGATGTGGTTTGGCTATGTTCCCCAAAGGTCACATGTCAGAAATAGTGCTGAGAGGTAGAAGTAATTAGGCAATTGGGGTTCTGACCTCACAAATGAATTAAAGTTATTATCACAAGAGTAGTTTTCTTATAAAAGTGTATTTGTGCCAGGCACTGGTGGCTCATGCCTGTAATCCTAGCTACTCAGGAGCCTGAGATCTGAGGATCATGGTTCAAAGCCAGGCTGGGAAGGAAAGTCCATGAGACTCTTCAATAAACCACCAGAAAACTAGAAGTGGTGCTGTGGCTCAAGTGGTAGAGTGCTCACATTGAGCTGAAGAGCTGAGGGACAGTGCCCAGGCCGAGTTCAAGCTCCATGACCAAAAAAAAAAAAAAGTGCATTTGGCTTCCTCTTGCTCTGCTTCTCTTGCCCCCTCTCCCTTTAGGCCACTGAATGGCATAGCTTGCTTCCCAATCTCCACTTCATGATAGAGAAGTTTCTGTTCTTTACAAGTCAGTAGGTATTCTATTACAGAAGCACAACATGGCCAAAAGATTATTAAGTCTAATAAGAAGAAGTGGAGATATGGTTCAAATGATAGAGGATGAGTAATAAGCAGAAACTCTAAGCGAAAGTATGAGACTTTGAGTTTGAGCCCCAGTACCAGCACATCCATCCCCCTTAACACCACACACACACACACACACACACACACACACACACACACACACACACACACACACAAGATTAATCCTGATTTCTAGAAATTAATAAGTAGTTTGTGAGGATTGATTATAAACTCAAATCTAAAGACTTTAGTTCTTGAGGTTGGCTCTTGAAGTATTGGTTCTAAATCAGAAAAATATGAAGAATTGGCTATGAAAACCAGAAGTGGGTAAACATTTTTTTAAAAAATCAAATTGAGAGGCCATTGGATTTGTGGGGGTTCTGGCACTTTAAAATCAGAGCTCAATGTAACAAGTACATTGAAACTAGAAACCACCAACTAACCTCCAGCTAGGAACTTTCCACATCAGTTAATCAAAATTTTTGGGAACCATTGTAGTCATTGCCAAACCTGGGGACTTGGAAAAGATTTGGCTTCACACAGCGGGTGAATACACATTTATTGAGCTGCTTCCTGAAAAGAGGCCGGAACCTGAAGAAATGTGCCAGCCCCATGCCTAGGAAGGCCATGAGTTCAACAGCAATGAATGGCAGGGCACAAACAGGTTAAAAAGGATAAAGGCTGACCACAGGATAAACTGGAAATTGCTACAAATCTCAGTTCAGCCCTTATCTGTATTAGTGGCCTGGCCTTTCTCAAGCCCAGTTTCCTCATTGTGCAGTAGAGGTTTTAGAACCATGCTATTGCTAATTTCAGCTGGAAGGCATTCTGCCTTTCTTTGTACATGCTGTCATTCCATTTCTAGGAGGTGCTACTCCTCAGAGCCATTAAGATGAGCTTGTTCAGCCATCCATAAGATTTTTGTTTCAATCTCTCCATCTAGGTTGAAGAGCATGGGAACTCTGAGAAAGATAGCAGGAGGGAAAACGCTAGCCTTTGGAGTTGTCCTGGCTAAAGATGGTCTCCAAGATGGTTGATCTACGTCTCCTCTTTCCTTATCTCCCTCCTTTCCCCTTTCTTCCACAAACACTGAATGGACTTCTACTTTATATACTGCCAAGACCCAGCATCATATGTAAGTAATATAGATGAGTTTAGAGTATGTGCCAAGCCCTGCACTAAACACTGTGTTTCCTCTCTCATTTAAGCCTATGACCAAGTCAGAGCTATAGATTCTACTATTATCCCCATTGCACTAACAAGAAAACTGAGGGATAGGTTAGATAACATGGTCAGGGTTTATATCTGATTTATATGCCATCCAAGGGTGCAAAAACCAGCTCTTTCATAAAATAAGGTCAATTGCAGGGAATTGGATAGAACTAGAACAAATCATGTTAAGTGAGGTAAGTCAAGATCAGAGAGACAAATGGCACATGTGCTCTCTGATATGCAGAAGCTAGATCTAAATTGCACTAGGATTTGACAAATTACACAGAATTCTAGATACTCACAGTGAGACCAGAAGAGGATAGTCTTAGGAGAGAATCACAAAGGTGCAAGTGCCTCTTCATATGAATACATGTGTATATGTATATAAAATAATATGTATTTTGAAACAAACTCCAAAGATATGGAACCAAAGGACTTTTTAAAAATTATTTTTATTTTTTATTATTCTTTACCTTATATATGGTGTATATGTATATAAAATAATATACATTCTGAAATGAACTCCAAAGATATGGAACCAAAGGATATTTTTCTTTTTGGGGGGGGGTCCGGTCATGGGGCCTGAACTCTGGGCCTGGGCGCTGTCCCTCAGCTCTTCAGCTCAAGGCTAGCGCTCTACCACTTGAGCCACAGCGCCACTTTTGGCTTTTTTTCGTTTTGCTTATGTGGTGCTGAGGAATCAAACCCAGGGCCTCATGAATGCAAGGCAAGCACTCTACCAGTGAGCCACCTTCCCAGCCCTTTTTATTTTTCTGTTTTTTAACTATTTTTATTTTTTTATTATTCTTTACCTTACATATGGTATATTCATGTGCATATCTGTGGGAGGGTGGGAGGAGGGCACAGAATCAGAGAATAAAGGGTAAAAAAAAAGTGTAGCAGTGGAGTGTACTGGCTGCACTGGACATTAATGATATTAATGATAGTGAACTATGCAACACAGGGGTGGAGATGGGAGGGAGGGAATGGGAGAGAATGAGGGAACAAGATGACACTATTTGAAAGGAGGTATTACCTGACGTATATAAAGGTAATCCCACTGCATATCACTTCTAAAATGATAATAAAGTACATTAGGAAAAAAAGAATAGCTCTTTTTTTCAAGAAGGGCAAAGAAAGCAAAGAGGAGACCTTCCAGGAAGGGCTTGAAAGATAAATAGGAGCCTGATGGACAAAATAGGAAAGCTGTGTAAGGATGAGGAACAGGGAAGTATAGGAAAGAAATGTGAACTACACAGTTGACTTCCCATGTCCTTCCAACCTTTCCAGATGTCCTTTCTATAAACAAAATGGTATTTGTTGCTGCAACCTAACCAGTAGCCTCAGTCTACATTTGGCAGTGTGTCTCAGTCCTTTCTAAGTATCCTAAGTTTACTTTAACCAATCATATTCAGGCAAGTAAAAAGACCTTGAGACTCCTATCTCCAATAAACCACAAGAAAACCAGAAGTGACGATGTACTCAAGTGGTAGAGCGCTCGCCT